TCAAGCAAGCTTGCACCAGCGAGGGGGGGTGGGGCGCAGCCCCCCCGGACCAAAGGACCAGAGGACCAGGGACCAGAGGACCAGCGGACCAGCGAACCAAGGGCCTAGCCAAACCTTCTACAAACCCCACTTTGGCCAAACCTTTTAAAAGAAAAAACCCGGGACCCCCGCCGTTTGTGGAGGCCAAAAATCTCCGACACCCCCCCAAGCAGCCCGTCCAAGACGCTTGCTAGATCCTAGAATCCTAGAATTTCTACACAAGCCAGGACTGGGTTGCCAGCACTTGGCGTGCCCGGAGCATCTCAGCCGCGCCGCGAGGCATCTTGGGAAGTCAAGTGTGGGATTCCGGGCAAGACTCCAAAGACCTCCAAGCGTAAAACACGAAAATGAACAACAAAAGTTCACCAGGACTTCGCATGAGCCCGTGACCTGGTCGAGCCCTGCGCGGGTAACCAAAGCTCGACGACACCTGCTTGAAGCGGTTCTCTCGCAAGTTTGGGCTTTGAGAACCGACATTGTCGTGCGGTCATAGCCGTGGGAACAGAGATGCTAAAGGCAGAAACTGACACAGTGACGAACGAAAGGTTCCATGTCGTAAGAGCAACAAACTGCTGCAAGCAGCATCAGTGGCAATAGTGGCGGCAGCTGCAACGGAACCAAATGCAAAACCAAAGGCAGCAACAGCACCAACTGTGGAGGAGGATGATGAAGAACCGCAGCAGCACCAGCAGTAGTCGTAGTAGTCGTAGGCGAAATAGTACTCCTAGTAGCGCCAATAATAGCACTACTAGTTGTACAATTAATATTAGTTAGTTGTTGTGGTAGTCGTCGTGGAGGTGGTGGTGGTAGGAGTAGTAGTAGTAGTAGTAGTAGTAGTAGTAGTAGTGGTAGTAGTAGTAGTAGTAGTAGTAGTAGTAGTGGTGGTAGTAGTAGTAGTGGTAGTAATTAGTAATAATAATATTAATAGTAGTAGCAGCAGTAGTAGTAGTAGTAGCAGCAGCAGCAGCAGTTGCAGCAGTAGTGTTGTGGCAGTAGCAGTAGGAGTGGCACCACCATAACGTCGGCGATGACAATGATACTGATGATGATGCTGCGCAAGAACCATTCCATGCTAGCTTTCTGCGAAGTATTCAATTGCTTATGCTTGGGCTTCCTGAATCAAGCAGATGCATTCCTCGTATCACATCCACGCCGATCCTGGGATCTGCGAAATGGCGCGTCGGATCGGCCACATCACGTACCCGCCAACATGGCTCAACATAATAGCACAGAGTGCGACTGCATTGTGTCTGATGTTGGCTGCAAGCAGCTTTTGGAGCTCCAGGGGTTCAGGTGTCGAGCGACAAAGACTTCTCGGCAAGCTGCCTTCGGCTTAGCTACGTCAGGGTTGGCGGGGGGGAGATCGGAATCTCGGTGTTGTCGAGGTTCCTATCAGGTCCTATCAGCTGACTCAAACTGCTCCTCAGCTGCATCAAATCTGGGAAGTCGGATCGCAAATTGGCTGGTGCTCTACATGTGGCTTGCCGGTTCAACAACAGAGATGGGGTGTTGAACACCTGGACTTGAGCAGGGCTCAGTGCGGTCAACGTGTACGACATCCGCCAAGCGACAGACGTAGATTTTGTCGCATGTTCACCTCGTGCAAGCCGTGTGCACACTTCAGAATGCCAACGACAAGCCTGTGAAGGAAGAAAGATTCTTCATTACTGCCTTGCAGCTTCAAGACCTCATCGAGCCGAAACCAGTCTACATGAAAGCTTGAGGCACTGAGTGCTTTGAAGGCTTCGCTTCTGCTGTGCCGAGACTCGCGGTTTTTTCCTTTCATGCTGTGCGAAGAATTCGCTTCTCTATCCATGCACACGGCATCTCTCAATCTCTCGCTCTCGCGGAGACGCTCGAAGCCCTCCAGTTAGAGGGAGATGGTGCTCTTCGGGAGCTGGAAGCCGAAAGCTTCATAGTCCTGGGCGTAGAACTCTTGCACCATGCGGAGGGTGGCCGGGGTCGGCGTCAACGTACCTTGCGACGACTGTGGTTGCGAGGTTCAAGACTTCAGCTTAGGGAAAACCCGTGTGTCTGCTTAGGAGCTTGGCATTATCAGTACTGCTTCCATGGGATCCTAATGTGCTACGATGGCTGTGTGCTTTGTGGATGACCAGAAGGGATTGTCAGTCTCCATACCGGCAGGGATAGGTTGATTTCTGCAATGTCTTCGGGGTGAGTGCCGTCGCAACCATCGTCATCACCGGCGTCGTCATTTCCATCATCATCATCATCATCATCATCATGACAGGGTTTCTACTCGGGAGGGCAAGTGCACCAATCAAGCTCACATAGTGGCATCTTTTCGATGAACATAACGGGCGCGAAACTCGAGCAACCTCTGTTTGCAAGTGAACTTGCTCCGAGAATTTTGGACCCCTCGTCTGTGATAGGAACTGAAACGTCTCGTGTCGAAAACAGCATGAGAGCAAAGCTTCTCGTGAGAAGACCGGCTATCAGAGCGCAAGAAGGATTACTACTAAGCCGGTTAAGACCATGTTTCCCCTGCAAGCTCATGCTAGTGATACTGCGTCCTCTTCCCAGTACATGTGGTAGTACTAGCATTCGGTCTGGCACTCGCAAGCCCCATCCAAACCAAGAACAAATTTACTGTTTAGCGTGACGTTTAGGGCTTAGGTGTGGTATGCAACGGACAGCATACTTGAAAAGCCAAGCAGCAGCGTTCCTTCTCGTGTATGGCCCTTGGACACTGAAAACTAGTCTGGCGCGGCTAATTTCACTCCAACATCTGAGATGTGCAGACTTCTGGGCGAGACAACTTTCGAACCTCCCACGGCCAAAGCACAACCACGAGATGAAAAGCCTTCTGAAACAGGATCTCCAAGAGACGAGAGCAACTTCACCTGACAGTTTCGCACGCTGGTGTGTCGCGCATCAGGGCTAGTGCTACGACTATCAAAAGCAAAACCCCTAACCGTACTCCCTCGCTTGCCGAATCCCAATGTCGAGGATCGCTACCGCTAAGGCTAAGGGTTCGGGGATTGGTGTTCCGGGCTCTAGATTTCTAGAAGTGGGCTTCTCGCCGTTTGAGGCCGGGCCTGGGTGGCCCAGCCCTTGAACAGTTGGAACATGAAACTCCACATGCTTAGTTTGATCCCACAACCAGTACCTGCTGAATTGAGAGAACCCCCCCTGCAAGCGCTCTTCACAGACCCCCGAAAGAGGAAGAAGACATAGGACATGCATTGATTTCGGTCTCAGCTCCAGGGTTCCGAGCACGCGAGGATCCTCCTCAACCCTTTCAACGAAGTCTCGCCAAGCGCCCGGGCCTCTCGGAGGCCGTAGCTCTCCATCAGTGCTGGGAAGCTCTGGTTCACCTCGTGGAACTTCCTCGGCTTCAGTTTAGGGAATAGGCCTTAGGTGTAGGGAGTGCCACGGGGTTGCTTCTTCAGGGCTTGGAGAGCTTGGGGCTTAGGATGATGAGGTTGTTCGGACTTTGCGGAGAGCAGCTCCAAAAACGGCACCCACCCAGCGCAGCACCTAAACAGCCTGTACAAAACTGAAATGATGCCTGCCAGCCACCAAGAGCGGTGATGAAGCTCTGTATCGCCAAGCTTCAAGACATGGCGACAGATAGGCGCTGCTTTCGGATTGCCATCTTGGAACACGTAGTAGACTTGTGGCACTGCATGGCAGTCTTGCTTGAGGTCAAGCTTGTCCACGAACATCCTGTTTTCAGGCACGGCCAGAAAGGGCTTAGGGGTCCTTGAAAGACGCATGCCCGAAGGGCAAGTCCGGGCAAGTATGTCGCACGAAGCAATCCCGAGAAATCTCGGCCCCAAACCCCACGATCTGAATCAGCAACAACCCATGGAGAAAGGCCGCCATAATCCTAACGTTCCAACATGCTGTTCAGACCAGCAAGTAAGATCAGACAACAACTTGAACATCAGCATCGTACACCAGCAGCTTTTGAGGACACCAAGAAGCTGCGTTTCAGCCTGACTTCAAGAACCCCTTCAAGTTCTGCTTCAACCTGACCCTTGAAAGCCCCTGAACCCGCACCTCTGCCTCCGCTAAAATCCCCCCTTTCCAAATCCTAAAGCCTCAACATCCCCCAACCCTGCTCCACCCCGAGTAATGGCCGGAGCCTTGTCAGGTCCTCGAGCTTCTGCGGCTCACAGACCTTCCGAAAGCATCGGGGCAAAGCTCAGGCTGCGGCTTGAGGCCTTTGAGGCTTCAGGGAGGCTCGGGTTTAGGGTTTAGTGGTTTAGGAGCTTGGGGCCGTTTGGGGTTCAAGCTTCATTGCTGTGACATCTATGATTTTTCAGGGTTTGAGGGTCTTGGACTCAGGGTTTTAAAAGTCTCTTGACATCTTACATGGAACGATGGTGGGCCAAGCGGACGAGGTTTTGCAAGGCCCACCACCTAAAAGAGATGCCTGAAAAGGAAAGCAGAAGGTGGAGTGGAAGGAAACACAGAATAGCGCAAGCATCTGCTTAGCTGAACCGGGGAGACGAACCAGAGCGGCATCGCTCTAAAATCCGACATATTCCCTTTTGATGAACGAACCTGCTCCAACTTGTAGACGAACTTCAGCTGACTGATCATCCTCTCCAGGGGATCCCGCACGATGCAGAAGGAATCGCACTCCTCCCTGAAGTACCTCACCTCCGAGGGCGGATTATAGCCTTTCCATAGCATTGAAGCGATCGTTGCGATTCACAGGTGGAGGCTATGGGTTCAAGGTAAAACCTGAAACAGATTCTCTGAAACCTCGGAATTCGGATGCGGCATGCAGCGGTCCAGGAGGGTCTGTCACCGACTACCACTGCTAGTCAGTCCAAGTCACTCTCAGCCAAGTTCAAGGAGTGGCACGAAACACCGAGCACTCTGCGAACAGGTTCCAATGTTGCATACTTCTGCATCCCAGCCTCCAGAACCATCGACTCCACCCGCTAAAGGTTTGACAAACTCACAGCAATGATTGCCATGTAGTAAGAAGCGTTAAGGATACTAGCATTAACAACGAATGCCATTGAACAGACACAGGACATGCCTGCCAAGCGCCCGACCTTGTGTTCCCAAACCGATCCCAAATCCCCTGTACATCTCACAACATCCTCTGCACACAAGGTCACCAGGCTCGGGTCGAAGGCAGGAGGAAGATGCCAGGGGCTGCAGCCGGCTCTCATCCCAAGATTGCGGATGCTCTCCTGCGGAGGGACTGCACTCGGGGTTTTCGGAAATCGCATGATTTTGAATCGGTCAATTCTATTGCTCGAGCTCTTGTTTTTGCTGTTGCTTCTTTAGCTGTACTTTGGCTGTTTCAATCAGCGTGGTGACGCTGCGGGGTTCTGACTAAGTCCTTCTGTTGCGCGTAGAAGGATTAGTGCTACTGTGTGTGGATGGACAAAATCTTCCACCGCTTTTCCTAAACGGCGCTTGCTGATTCCCGGCGCCCCTTTGTGAGCATTAGCTGTGAAAGGCTGCGGATCGCATGGACGCAATCCTGAACCACTCAAGTAATCCAAGCTGCCAATGTTAAGTAGGGTGTGCGGGGTTTGATGCCTGAGACGATTGAAATCTGCATGTGTAGGTGCTGCAAGATTTCGTCCATCCACCGTAGGTTGCTGAGCACACCACGCACCCGGAAAGCCAACCCGCCGGCGGCTCCCGTTGTAGAGGGGTGTGCATTCCCGCTCGGGCACCCTCATGTAACACTTCGGCGCTCCGGAACTTAGTGCATTGCTGGCGATGCAATGTCGTGATAATTGTAGTGTGTTTCGATGTGGACATCGTGCTCTCCTGTGCACTCATTGGCCTTCAACTTAATCGAACAATCGGTAGTCCAAGCAGGGCCACATTGTTCACCTGTTGGTTCCCGCGTGGCGCATCGCGAAATCGTGCACGCGCCAAGGTGCCATGTCGCGTGGCCACCTTGGGGTGGGGTGCTTGTTCCGGGCAATACAACTAAGACAGCACTGTATGTGGTGGCAGTGGCAGGGGCGGTGGTGGTGGGGTGCTACGAGTCTCGACCACAGCCACGAGTCCTACTTCAGCACCATACGAATACGAGTATGACTATTGTCCTAATTACTCTCCCTGTTCTTACAATCGCCGCCGATTAGTGCTACTAATCCTGCCACTGATCATGGGGGTCGGCCCCTCTTCTCCTAGTACTATATATTACTCCTCCCTCCTCCTACTGATGTTATTAGCACTGCGACTGCGACTGCTACTTCCGAAACCGCCACGACCGTGACGATATCTACGACGGCCACGCGACTAATTCTTCCTTCAATCGGCTTCATGCCGATGGTCCCAACAACCTCTGAAGAAACTCACGATAAGCTAGCTTCCGGCCCCCGCCCGGGATCCGGCACGCTCGCCGGGAGGCTGCTGGGAAGCATACACTTCGGCCAAGGATTCTTCGCATTCTCCTCTTTTGGCCGCGGCCAGAACCTCCGCTTGAAGATTACATGATAGCACGGGCTCTTGCTCTTTGCCGCCTTCCCATACACTCTGAACACTGCGTGCCACTTCGCAGGTGGAGCGGGTCGCGATCTTATCGCCGAACTCCACTATACCCCCAAGCAGATTTGTGTGTTTTTCCTTGGACTCACCAGTTTTCAGAGACTTGGCGCTAAGCATGCTCACACCTGAAAGAAACCGTGAGGCTTTGGGACTTGGCGAGGCGAAGACACAAAGATGACCTGCCAGACACGGCCACAAGTCAGCACGGCCTGCGACCCCCCTTCCACTCCCCCGCGGATTGCTCACCCGGGACCTTCAACACAAGGTCCTGCAAGCCTGAATCCCTCCACCTGCTCCCTCAGAAGCCCTGCAACCAGAGCTTTCCTCTTGCAGCCCGGCAAACCTCGGTTCCGAGCACTTGAGACGATCGTCGCAAATGCCCCAGAAACGCTTCTCCTGGCGACGGCGGAAGTGTCAGAGAAGGCTCCTTTGAAGTTTAGTCAGAGTTCCCCCCAAAAAAAGCAGCGCGCACTTGCCCCAAAAAGGGGCCGTTAGCCGGCGCCTCCGAAAGCTGCGCTCGGGCGGCCTGGGCGCAGCCCGGGTAGTCCCAGTAGCCCTCGTAGCCCTGGGCCTGGCGCATACAAAATCCACGATTTGGGACTGCAAGGAGCTTTCGGGGGGCGTTTTTGATCTTTTTGGGTGATGTTTTTTTGGGCAGGTGATGGCACCCTTGTTATCCCCTAAGTACGTAACCCTCTTTGCTTCGCCGCAAACCCCCTCAAGTAAATATCCCGGCCGCTTGAAGTTCTGACCGCTCCTCCTCCAGTCCTTTTACAGGACATCGGTGTCGTAACCTTTTGTCCAACTACCACTTGCAGGCTTTGGTGTTTGTCGGCGTTCGGACTTTGGGATGCTCATGTCATGTGGGGCCCGTTGCACATAACCCTTGCTGCAAACTGTCAACCCTGAAGGTCGCATTTACCCATAGAAAAATTCAAGGACTTCGGCACTTAACATCCGGCTTAGGGAGGCGGATTAAACGGGGACTTCCAGGTGTCGGACTTGATGGTTGCCGGGGCCTTCATCATGGAACCCTCGACCGAGCCGCCCATGCTCTTCGGGATGTGGATGAAAGAAAGGCAAGACTTGCGGGCCTCCTGGTGAAAAATGGCTGAGAGATGGAATTCCTGGGCCGTCTACTTTTCCGCATCAAAGGTGGGAGGTCTCAAGAAACCCCGAGCGAAAACCCGTCAATCCCAAGTGCTACAACCTGTACAAGTCGGGTGTCTACAGGCAGGAGGTAGCTTCTTCGCCAAAACACTGAACCCTCAGGCCTGAGGTCTATAACCCCCAGCTCCTGCGTGCTCGCACCCTGCCGTGGGACCTGCACCAGGGAGGCAGCATCCGGCACCGCGCCTGGCTTTGCCTGGAGTGGCTTTTCGGCTTGAGCTGTCGGGCGTTGCCAGTGATCCAAACGGGTTGGTTTGATTGGGATCAGAGCCCTGGGTCAAGGACTGAAGATATCAAGCTCAGGGACAGGGATGGCAGGGTTTTGGGTGTTTCTTCTGGGCCAAGCATCTTGCATGGTCTCTGTTCTTTCGAACATGCATGCATGTATCAGAATTTGCAAAGGGCAGGGACTCCTGACCCTGCCACCTGGGACTGAAGATGTTCACAAAACCCATCGACCGGAGCCCTACACGCCTCGACTGAAAAAACAAACACACACCCGCTCCTGAACATCCAGAAATACTTCGAGACTCTAGCAGACTTTAGACTCTAGACTACAGACCCCATTGCAGAAGGGGCCGCCACTTTTACTTGCAAACACCGTAAACCACGCAAAAGCTTCGAAACCTGGGCCTTGGACCTTCCACCAAGCCGCCCCGGCCCCGCCTCGCATTCGCTCCCAGAGCCTTTAGCCAACAGCAGACACAGCAGAAGGCAGCGCATCGCTCGCACCGACTTGAAACTCTGGAACATCCGATGTTTTATGGCCGTTCAGGGTCTAGAACGTCATCAGCTTTGTCCACGATTGCTCACTCAGTGTCTCCCATGTTGCAAAGACTCCAAGCTTGGATGTAGCCAAAGGGAACTAAAACACTAGTCAAACCCCAAAACATAAGAAGGGAGCTGCGCTCAAAGCCCAAATCTGCTACTCCCGCACTTGTGGCAGGTCAGGTTCGGTCTCACAAGCCAGGTGGCCTCATTCAGACAAGTTTGAGATCAGGGCCGCTAGGCGTGGGCACCCCTTCTTCCACCCGGCATCATCCTATACACGGTTTAGAAGGGGGCCCTGAGATCTGGAACAAGGTTGCTGGGCTACGATCTGGAACACGGGAGCACCCGGAGCATGCCAGAAGTACTGGAAGCAGAAAAAGACTTTGACAAACACACTTGTGGGATTTCGGCAAGAGCACGAGGCAAGGGGTGAGGGGGGTGTTGTTGTTTATGCAACACAAGCCACGGCTGCTGTGAAGCAGGCACTGACCGGAGGCTGTTGCGAGCTGGCTGCAGATGCTATGTTTGTACCGCGACGGTATCACAAGATGGCACCATGCACAGCTTGTAGAAGTAGGATGTACAAACTTCGTTGCAGGTACAGGATCAAGCGTCATTGATCCCTTCCCACCTTTGGCAATAGCTTCGTTGCGTGCAGTGTGCCAAAGGTGCTGCATGCGCCTGCGTTGCAAAAAGCTAAACGATGTAGGAGTGACCCTCTGTTCCCATGTGCTAAGGAAGTTCACACACACAATACACAAACACACAAAGAGATACATGAGAATGATGGAAATATACACACATATATACATGCAGAATATGAGATGATTACATACGTGCACCTGCTGTATTCATGTAAACTGCAATGCAGGACATCAGCCTTGCAATGCGAGAAGTCTTTTGGCTTCCTCGCACGCAGTCTGCAAGCACAGGCAGCGCTGTAACACGAGACAGGGCAATGCCGGTGTACAAGCAGGTACTTTGACCGTGAACTCCAAACTCTGAACCCTCAACCCTAATAATTCTACATTGATCCCTCCATTGCTCGGTCTTCGGAGTGCTCCATGAAAACCCGGGCCTTGCGACCTGAAATCTGACCTCGTGCCTGGCATCCCAGCGCTGGGAAGCTCAGTAGCCGAAGGCCTGGACCAACGAGATCGGATCTTGAAAAGTACAAAATTCCTTTTCGTTCAGAAAATTTCAGAAAGTGTGGTAATGGTGACACTGTGAGTCGGGCGAGGCGTCCGGGTGGGAACTCTTGAGACTCGGCGCCTGTACAGAGAATGCGCAAATCATCCTACCACTCACTGACCACGCTGAACTTATGAGTGTGTGTTTGTGTGTTCACCCCTGCACTTGCAGTCTGGCCATCTTGGGAATTCGTCCAGCCTTGTAGTCCTCTGCATAGAATTCCTGTCAACTTCGCACTTGGATGTCGCACGACACGGTTCTTCCCCTCGTGGTGCAGATCTCCAGACCGGCAACTTTGCGCACCCCGACCCCCAAAAGCCAGCATGACCAAGTCCATGCCAGATCTTTCGTCCACCTCCCAAAACCCTGATCACGAGATTGCACTGGAGCACACCTCCCTGAACGACAGCGACTGCACCGAGTCACGAGGGCAATGCCGAACTACCTATCAGAACCTCACAGACGCCCCTCTGTCCTTGATCATCTGTAGCGTTGCTGCTGTGGGTGTAATGTCGCATGCTGGGCCTGGAGAGAGGAACGGTGGAGGGTCAGGAGCCGGAGGAAAGCGCACGCAGGCAATGCGGTCCACGGCCGAAAGTCAACCGAGCTGCTCGTGCGAGTTTTTCGCCTGCCCAGCTTCACCTGGAACGTCTGGTTTTAGACGTTCAGACTTTTAGGAAGCGGATTAAGTGCTTGTGACTTGTGGGGTGAGGAAGTGCTTAAACAGGTACCGGGTACCGTCGCGGATTCCAACTGTTCAGTCCCAACACCGTCAAGGGCACAGTAAACGACGGCGCCGCACCTTCGTCAGGTTGTAGCTCGCCATGAGCAGGTCGAAACCTTCTGGGAAACGGCTTGGTATCGCCCTAGGCCTTGACCCTAGACTTCCCTAAGCCCTACTACAAATGTAAGTCTTGTAAACCCCGAAGTCTCTTCAAATCCTGCGAAGACTTCAAGGAGAGGTCCTTCATGGAGCTCCTCGAGCTTCAGAATGTGCTTGCAGATGCGAGGGGCGGAGGAGTCACCTGGGGATCTTAAGGGTTGGGGGCGCTGAGGGCTTGTGGGGTTCAGGGCAGGATCTAGGGCTTATGAGGTTTAGGGTCTAGGGGTGTTGATGAATGGTGGATATTCGACAGTGGCTCTTGCCAGATTGTGAGGTGGTAGGGTTCGACGGTGGTGACACGCTGCTTGAGCATTCTGTGTTTAGCAGTTTCAGCCGTTTTCGGATTCAGGATTTCCGATTCGAGTGTTGCGGTGGGAAAGTGTAACTTCGAAGCTATGTCACCAAAAGACGTTGTAGTGAAGCTGGCAAACATACTGCAGTGAAGCTTCGCGGGCTGGCGAGGCTCAAGAATCCTCATACAGGACAGTTGAAAAGCCCCCTCCAAGCCATCTGTCACCACTCTTTTGAATTGCCCGCGAGCTCCCGGACCCCAATAAATGGAAAGATACTTCCTGCGGCCCCTCAACAAGGTAGCCTACTTCCTAAGCCCGCATCACTAGACCAAGCCCGGGCACCCTTCTTGTAGGTGTACTGGACCTGTGGGCAGTTTTGCTTGAAGAGGTGAGGCCCGTGAGTCTGAGTCGGAGCTGCGATGCCTACGTTTCGGGTGCTCGGTTTAGAGCAGGGCAGTAAAGATTAGAATCACCGGAGCGCTTGTTTGGGATGGCCTTTCCGATAGGTTGCACGGTTTAGGGCTTAGGGTTGTGGGTTTCGGCTGGTGTGGGATATGAATACTCCGAGCCTATCAGGCGTCGCTCCACTTCATGCCCCTCCCCAAAAAAAGTTTTCCCTGAGCCCTTTGCGAACCGAAGTTCCATAAGGCCACACACATCCAAAACCCCCAAAACCCAAGCCAAGGCTGCACCTGAGGCACAAAGTGGCAGTCTTCGAGCAGCACGTCTTGTGCGCGTGCCCGGGTCAGCTTCTCCTGACATGTCCAGCCCTTCTGAACTCCTGAAACGTCTGGGGTCTGAAACATCCTCCCGCGGCCAGCAGCAAATCGTCAGACACTCCAAAGGTTCTTGCCTTTAGGGTTTGGTCCTTTCTGGCTTGCGATCTTGAAGACTGACAGCTGGTGGCATCGAAGAGGCGCCCCCACCTTCGTGTAATTTTCCAGGAACTCGGCGGAACACTTCTCGGCTTTGTCCTGCACATGTCTCCACCTGTTCAGGCCAACCCTCTGCCGCAGTTCAGAGCCTGAGTCGTACGAGGGCGCACGAGTCCCAGATCCGAAAGCCCTATACACTCTAAGCACTGGACCAGCGTGGAACCCTGGTGACTCATAACCCTTCCAAAATGCCGGTGGGAGGATGCTGCGTAGCAGGTGGAAGATTCGAAACAGCAATCCCCTGCGGCCTCCAGTGACTAAGGAAGCGGTCAAGTGGGTTCCGCACCACACCTCACTCCACCACGAAGGGCAGCAATCGCTTTTCGGCTGGGAGAGCATACACTTCGCAACTCAAGCAAGGCTTGCTGCAGGCGGCTAGTGTCACTTGCAGTCGCTGGTAGGCTTCAACCCTTTTCGGGCTCAAGACATCGTGTCGATGAACCGTCATGCACCCCGAGGCACAAAAGGAGTCGCAGTTCGAGTTGTAGGACTCGGCCTCAGAACTCCTAATCTAGCTGCCGGTTCAGCTTCAGAATGGGTTTCTCAGGCTTCACGGTTCCTGCGGGGCCCTTCGAACTTCCAAGTCGCAGAATGAAAAATAGACTCTCTCTCTTGGCTCTTGGGTTAAGGCCTGCTTCTTTCCTGGATTCACACCCCTTGTCTCCCAAAGCTTCATTGTGGCCCCACGCTTGCAAAAGGATTTCCATCCCAAAGCGAACTTTTTCCGTGCAGTCACGTGATGTGCAGGCTCCACCGTCGCCGATGACAAGACCAGTTTCTCTTGCCAAGCCCTTCGGCGGCTTGCACTCAGGAGGCGGGGACACAGACAGATTTCCGAACCTCACAGTGCGAAGCCCTGAACACAATCCTCATGCGTCTCTCGAAGGTATCAACTGCGTTCTAGAAATCATGCAGTGAACTTCCTGACTGTGGAGGACAGCCTGGGGCCGTCAGCCTCAGAACTCGTCTCCGTAGCCCTCCTCTTCGCCTTCACCTGAAGTTGCAGGTGGTATTGGCCAAGTACACTGATAACTGATAACCTTCAACCCGAGCAGGCAAGAACATCTTGCCTGGAACTAATGCACATCTGAAATCCAACGTGAACCCGACTACTACGCAGCCAGCTGAAGATTCCAAAACCGAAGAGGCACGGGCAGATGCACAAGATTCGAAGTCTCCTGGCCTTCTGCTGTTTCGATGCCGACCTCTTCGTAGTCCTTTTCCAGGGTAGGGATGATGGACTTCAGCTTCAAGATGTGTGAATCACTCTGCCAATCCGTATGATTGTAACATGCGTATACGTACATGCACAAATACGGATATACGTATGTATATGTACATACATGCATACATACATACATACATACGTACATACATACGTACATACTTGGTCCACATGCATACGTTCCTGTATACATACAAGTCTACAAATATACATATACATATACATATACATATACATATACATATACATATACATATACATATACATATACATATACATATACATATACATATATACATACATATATATAAATACATATATATAT